CAATGTTTTTGTCTATTATACACAACCATATCCGATAAAAGAGAAGGGTTACTATGGTGTTTTTTTGTAAAATGTCCTGAAACACTGTGTTTCATATACCCCCTCTGGATATTGCCCATGTGTTCTGCTAACCTTTATTAAAGGTTCTCGTTGTCAACCCTATATATTGCAGTCCACATGGGCACCAGATGAGGTATATAACATTATTTGTATGGCAAGTAAGTACTTGTTTAATTTTAAAGGTTTTATTTTATAGAAAAAGAAGTAAACTGTAGTTTTTTGGTTTTTAAAAGATGTTCCTTTACAGGCTGGACATAATTTACAGGGATAAAAACCATTTTCTAAACCGAAATGGTCCTTATTTTTATTTTCTCAAATACAGCTCGTAGTTAAATACGGTTTCAAATTTTTTGCTCCTCTGTAGATTATCCGTGGTTTTCTCCTATTATGTTTTTTAAAAGAGGGTCACTTTTTAAAACAAACCAATATTTATTAATAATCTGTCTTATTTGTTTAAAATTCTCATTATAATCTAAAATTAGTGGAAAATTTGTATTACTCATTTCATCATTCTTTTGTTTAGATGATATCTTAAGGAAGGGTTTCCTTTCTACTTTCTTTATATCTCTTATACATCTATCTATATTGTTAACATCATACTTTTTTCTTTTAATCTTGTTTTTAAAAAAATATGCTTATTCCTCAAAAGTTGATAAATCGCTATCATTCCTATATAAGTGGGTTATTTGTCCTTTCGGTATATTTTGTAGCCACGGGCTATAGTGGCAGCTTGTTGTCTCTATATATAAATTTACATCAACTTTTTTGAAAAAGGTCTCTGTCTTGATGTTCCCTTGATCCACAAAAATCTCGAGGTCTAGAAAATGTATATTACTTTGGCTATACTCACTTGTTAAGTTAATTCCTACTTCATTAGCATTTAAATGTTGCAGAAAAGATTCTAAAGAGTCTTCATCTCCCTGCCATATGAAGAAAATGTCATCTATGAATCTGCGGTACAGGACTAGATTCGACGCCCAGCTATTTTCTCGGGACAAAACAACATTGTTTTTTTTCAATGCCCAGCTATTTAATTTGTCTATTCAAGATCTTGTAGGGGGTATTGACAGGGTTGCCATCATATGTATTGGGCCCTTTACAGACCCATTTACAACTACTCCCCCATCACATACTTCTAGATGCATCCATAAACCTGCTCCCAAACAGACATACACGCTAAGACACACATACTGATATAACCAAAGAAAATGGTTACTTGTGCACTATCCCAAATTCCTATGCACATTTAACTAACTGGAGATCTTTTCGTATCCCTCCAATGGACATTTAAGTGTAAGATTGCCTGACATGTCAAGGCATAACCTCTTAGAAATACAAGAATACACATGGCCAGAAACACACAGACTCTGCCACAACCTATAGCATGCACACACTGTACACACACAGTACTACAAATATATAAACACATGCACACAGGGCTAGACACACACATTCCCTTGAGGCTTCTCTTTTATGAGTGCTGGGATGGAGAGGGGACAGACTGTAAGTCCAGTCCAGAATTTGTTTCAGTTTTGTTTCATTCATGTGGACCGGATAGGATTCATGTCTCTAATTGTGCCCCAGTGCTCAGACTGGCCCTTTAATAGTATGCTGGCTGTACCCTCAATGGCAGTCCTGGTTGTTGAAAGTTTCTCAATGTAGCAGAAGGTAAAACAATCCACTGTGAGCAGAATATTTATTTCTTGTATAATTATCCCCTAAACTTGTTTTTTTGAGACCTGGTAGAGTGACTTCTATAAAATGCATAGAAGT